AAAAAAAAAAAAAATGAACACAAACATTCAAGAGCAATAGAGGTCACCATTGACTGGTTCAGAGCCCATCAGTGGACCTGATTCCTCCCTTGGGATTAGAATCTTTACTAAGGATAGGCCAGGGTAGACATAATATGGGAAATCAGTTCATGATCTTTTTCCTCCTTTCCTTCTGTCATAGAGATCAGACATGATATGAACATGGAAATAGGTATCAAGGAAGGCAGTCAGGTAGCTTGGGTTTTCACCTGTCTGTCCTCCATGGTGCTCCTGTGTTCTTGGTTCATCTTTCAATGCAAAGTTCTCTGCATGAAATGGATCCCAACCGACGTTCCTATTCTCTAGCCCCTTAGCATAGAGAAACTCAACCCAGGACTCAAGAGCTCTTGTTGGGTGTTAAATTAGGTGATTGACAGCCACTCAGAATATGTGGCACTTCACATCTTTCTTTGCTTGGTAGGTGACAGTTTCGTGTATTGTAGAGATGAAAAGCCCACGTCCTGTTCTCTTCCCAGCAGGGTGGCTTTGCACTTGAATTTGTGTCTCAGTCCTCTGATGTTTGCTGCAGGAGAATCAGTATGCCCAATGGATGGCTGCCTGCATCCTGGCATCGAAGGGCAAAACCATGGCAGACAGCTCCTATCAGCCAGAGGTCCTCAACATCCTTTCATTTCTGAGGATGAAAAACCGGAACTCAGCATCTCAGGTGGCTTCCAGTCTTGAAACCATGGACATGAACCCTGAATGTTTTGTGTCACCTCGGTGTGCAAAAAAACACAAGTCAAAGCAGGTACTGCTAATCTTGTTGGAGCAATTATTTGCAGTAAACTCTATTTTCTGGGGTAAAATGAGGAATTAAAATGATCGAGGCCATCATCATGAAAAATCAGCTGATGGGGATTTTTGACTATGGACTCAGTATTAGACGATGTTAAGAAATTATTGTTCCTTTTGTTAGAGCTGACTGCCGCTAACTGAACATGGAAGTAGTCCCAGATTTCATTAAAATTATTAAATCCCCACAAATTAAAAATGTAAATTATGCTTCCATTAGAGGGGGTTAAAAGTTACACAGATAAACTGATATAAGAGGAACCATTGTCCACAGACACCATACATATCCCAGAAAAAGGGACCCAGAACTCTCCATCTCCATGAACCTTAGAGTTGTTCCTTCTTCTCCTCAGTGATTTATGTGTTTTATGGAAGGACAGAGAGGAACAGAGGATGAATGAATGGGAATGAATTGTCTTCGTAGAGTTGCAGTTGGGCCTTGCATTTATTTTTCTCATTGGGGATCTGAGATAAAGGGATGATTACAGAACAGTAAGTGTATGCCAAGATGGTTCAACGTTTTCCACTTCTGCTTAGCTGGAAGCCCGGATTCTAGAAGCCCACCAGAATGTGGCCCAGATGCCGCTGGTCGAAGCCAAGCTGCGGTTCATCCAGGCCTGGCAATCTCTACCTGAATTTGGCCTCACCTACTATCTTGTCAGGTGATCATAATGTTCACTTGCCTCTCTCACTTCCTGTTCGTTTCTAAGTGCCTTTCTTGGAGCCCGGTTTATTCTCAGTCTAGAATGTAGAACTCTTTAATTTTAGAATACTGTCCTCTTGGGTGCCTGGCTGGCTCAGTCGGTTAAGCGTCTGCCTTCGGCTCAGGTCATGATCCCAGAGTCCTGGGATCAAGCCCCACGTAGGGGCTTCCTGCTCAGTGAAGAGTCTGCTTCTCCCTCTCCCTCTGCCCCTCCCTGCAGCTTGCGCTCGCTCGCTCTCTCTCTTTTTCACTCTCTATCTCAAATAAGTAAATAAAATCTTTAAAAAAATAATAAAGAACACTGTCCTCTCACAAATGGCCCAAACACATTGGCTGCTCGTAATGATCTTCCACACCTTCTCTTCACAGTACTTACCTGGGCTCCCTGCTTCTCCCCTTGTTCCCCTAAGTTTTCAAGTTGGCTGCTAGAGTGATCCTTTTAAGACCTGAGTCAAACCATAGCAGGCGTCTGCCCAGAACCATCTGAAGGCCTCCTGGCTCACGCAGGGTATAAGCCAAATCCTTACAATAGCCCTATAAAACCTTAGCTCTGGGACTTCACAACTTCTGCCCCTCCTTTATGGTGCCCAGCCACCCTGGCCTCATGACAGGTCCTTGAGCATGCCCCAAAAAAAGGAAAAAAGAAAAAGAAAGCTGCAGCCTTTCACTGGCTGTGCCCTCTGCCTACAGCTCTTTCCCCAGATACCCATGGGACTCGTTCCTCACAGACATCTTTAATCAAATGTCCTTTCTCGCTGCAGTCTTCCCTGACTTGCTTTTTAAAACTGTAACCACCTCATTGCCAGTATTCCCTGTCCCCCTTCTACACTTTATTTTCCTCCGTGATCTTACCTGCCATATATATTTCACTTATTCATGACCCTCTTCCCCCCTAGAATACAAGCTCCATGAAGTTAGACATTTTCTATCCAATTAGGTCACTAATGTATTCCCTGTGCCTAGAAGGGTGCCCGGCATACACAGCTGATTTTATTTTATTTTTTTTTTTTAAAGATTTTATTTATTCATCTGAGAATGAGAGAAAGAACACGAGAGGAGAGAGGGTCAGAAGCAGAAGCAGACTCCCCACTGAGCAGGGAGCCCGATGCGGGACTCGATCCTGGGACTCCAGGATCATGACCTGAGCTGAAGGCAGCCGCTTAACCAACTGAGCCACCCAGTCGCCCCACACAGCTGATTTTAAATTCATTGACTTGACCCTCTCTTACTTTGCTTTCCTCTGATGTCAGTTTCACGTAAAGATGTCTGCAGGACAGCCTCAATTCTCTCCATTCTTCATATTCCCTTCCTATCACAGTAAAAAATCCCTTCTGTAGAAAAGTTAATCCCTCTCTGTCCATTCTTTGGATATCATTTAGAAATGTTCCTATTATCTTCAAGAGGTTGTAGTATGAATGACCATCGTATTATAGGAAGCAGTTGCCTCTTTTAATTCATATTAATTTTTTTTTTAGATTTAAAGGAAGCAAGAAAGATGATATTCTGGGAGTTTCATATAATAGGTTGATTAGAATCGATGCAGCCACTGGGATTCCAATTACAACATGGAGATTCACAAATATGAAACAGTGGAACGTCAACTGGGAAATCCGACAGGTACACTAAGTTTTCTGTATATTCAGTGTTGAGGCTATAAATGTGTGTTCCATCAGAGTTGTAGATTACTCTGTTCATATATGTAGAATTCAGAAACCACAAGCATGTGCCAGTTGTCTGCTAAACTAATCATAGGCAGTTCTGGGTAGTTCACTAACAAGTACAGGCCAAATGGTTTTGAATTAATACCACAAGTTGGCTTAGCCTCCATCTGGACTTTCCATACAGACTCTAAAACTGCTGAGCAGTTTGATTAGTTTCCTTCAACTCAGCATAGGATTATGTAAGATGCTGATAACTGCTTAGCAGAAATTGTCTGAGATGGGGCTGTCATCCAAAATGATTCCAAAAAGGCTTCATCTGATTGGCTGCCAAGAGGTCTAACCTGTCGAGGACTCAGAGGCTCAACTGCCCACCTGGAGAGCAGTCCAGCCCCCAAAGGGAAAAACTGCTAGAGAAGCAAGAGACGTGAGCAGGGATGACTAAGGAAAGCTTTGCCCCCTGAGTTAAGGAACCCCCAAACCCTCTGTCTCCCATCAATTGCAGTTGCACCCCGGGGGGCTAAGGTGAAGCCAGGGCTATAGCATGGGAAATTCTAGATCAAGTCAGAGGCACCTTAGCATCCAGCTGATTTAAAACATTCTGATGGGGCGCCTGGGTGGCTGAGTTGGTTAAGCGACTGCCTTTGGCTCAGGTCATGATTCTGGAGTCACAGGATTGAGTCCCACATCAGGCTCCCTACTCAGCAGGGAGTCTGCTTCCCCTCTGACCCTCCCCCCCTCATGCTCTCTCTGTCTCGTTCTCTCTCTCAAATAAATAAATAAAATCTTTAAAAAAAAAAATTTTGATGTTGCTGATCTAGAATTCTCATTTCTCCTTCGTTTTCTCATTTTTCCAGTAGAAAGCCTAGAGGAATGGGAGGAGACTCACACCTTTTTTTAAAGAACTGTGGATTCCTCTCAGCAGGGCTGTTAACCATGTGGGCACCCATTTATAGAATAAAAGTTTGAGATTAGGTGACCTCTAAGGCAGTGGCTCTAAAACCTTGTTGCATATTAGCATCACCCGGGAGCTTTAACATCCTACCGCCCGGACCACACCACAGACCCATCAAATCCCAGTCTCTGGGAGTGGGAGCCTGGCAGCAGCTTTTAAAGGTCCACCAGTGATTCCAATGGGCAACCAGGGTTGAGAACCAGTGAAATCTGTTTCTTCCAGTGTTTAGAGTTTATGACTTTGAGCTGGGAAGGGGTGCAGGGCTGTTGGGTGTAGGAAAATTCAGGTGAGCCTTTTAGTCTCCATTAAAGAGTCTGCAAAGCACCCTGCCCCTTGACAGAGGGAGTGCTTAGGAAGTTCTTAATATCTAAATATGAGCGACCAAAAATAAGCATGTGTGTTGGGAGCTGGAATGTTTTGCCAGGTGTGCGGCATAGTTGAGACCACCAGAGGGCGCACAGAGAGCAAAGACTTGTTGGCTGTAAGCGTTTAATGGAAGTGGTGATTGGGGGTTTTTTTTTGGTTGGGTGAGGTTTTTGTGGATTTTAGGGGAAGGAGGGGAGGGAAATCATCTATAAGCCACCTAAGCAATTCTCAGCCCTGGGGTCATCACAAGGCAGTTTTTGTCTTTTTTTTTAAGATTTTATTTATTTGACAGAGAGAGAGAGAGACAGTGAGAGAGGGAACATAAGCAGGGGGAGTGGGAGAGGGAGAAGCGGGCTTCCCGCCGAGCAGGGAGCCCAATGCGGGGCTCAATCCCAGGACCGTGGGATCATGACCTGAGCAGAAGGCAGACACTTAACGACTGAGCCACCCACGTGTCCCTTTCACAAGGCAGTTTTTTCCTCATTTTCCTTGAAGTGTTTAAGCTTACCTGTGCCTTCCTCTTCCAGGTGGCAATCGAATTTGACCAGAATGTCTCCATCGCGTTCACCTGCCTGAGTGCGGACTGCAAGATCGTGCATGAATACATCGGTGGCTACATTTTCTTGTCCACTCGGTCTAAGGACCAGAATGAGACCCTTGACGAGGACCTGTTCCACAAGCTGACTGGTGGTCAGGAATGAAGCAAAGCCGACCTGCCTACACACAGAGGGTGAGCCAAGGATGGGCCTTCCTGGACAGATGGGATCCTTGGCTCGCACGGTGTGTACATTGCAGACTGACAGCACATACTCACCACTGGTCACTCAGATGAGGATCCTCATCCCATTTCAGACACACTGCCTAGCATATCCTTTTCCTTTCTTTACCTTGTCCTACCAGTGATGGAAGGGGCCTCAGTTGCCTTTTCTGTAAAATGGGTGGGTGGGAAACAGGCTAGTAGACAAAGATTGCGCTGTGGCCCAGGATGGAGCTATAGTTCTGTGACTTGCAGACCCTGCAGGTCTATGGCTAGAAGTCACCAGAATGCTTCTCTGCTTTGTTGCTAAGTCAGCAAAAGACAGAAAGGTCGAAAGCACAGTAGCCAGGGACGGATCTTATTCCTTAACTCAGGTATAAAAAGTAATTTGTCTTTCCTAACAGAACCACTTTTAGCTCCTATCTTGTGAAAATGGCAGAGGGAGTCCCCACACACACATAGACTTTCTCCCTATAGGTCAAGGGAGGGGAGAGGTGGAGTTACCTGGTGCTGTTTGGTGACAAGGGGTCAGAGCAGTGAGCTTCAAGGTCATCAGTTCACAGTGACTTCCGCGGAGGTGACTACTGCCCCATCTGGCCTTGGACATTGGTCCCCTCAGGTTACTTCTACCACCTGCAAGGCCTATTGCGTTCCTGAGGGTCCCTCAGCCACCTTTAAGTCTTTCTGGATGACAGGGGTGATGCAGAGGTACAGGGAAATCCATTCCTCAACGACGCTGCAGGTCTCAACTGCTGTTCCTCTGAGCTGGGGCTCAGGAAGATGCGTCCAGTTCTGTTTATAAAAACCACATCCCCACGTCGGGGCTTACTACGGGGTCTCCCTCCCAGCTGGTCAGGGAGAGAAAGACAAGCCCATTCTCAAAGACCACCAAGTTCAAGGGCTGATGGCTCCCCCCCTCCCCTGGCTTCTATGTACATTTTGTAAATCAGGAGCCAATAACAGACTTCTGTTTTCTCTGCTTTTTGCTCTGTCATCTCTGCCTCAAGACATGGGCATGAGCCAGGTAATCACTGCCTCAGTTGTCATTTTCTGCTTTGCTTTGTCAGCTTTGAGAGGAGTGGGTTTTGAGAAGGAAAGAAGTGCTATCCGGGGTAGAGGGAAATATCAGATGGTATTTAATTATGTTTTTATGAATGTTCTGCTGCCACAGAAGGGACTTGGACTGCAAGGGTAAAGCAGAGGCTCCATTTCCATTTTGAAATTCTTTTAGGATGCAAAACTCTGGGGGCCTGGCCAGAGCTCAGATGCCCCAAAACATCACCTGTTGCTTTCTTTTGAGACCAGAGATCTTCCACAGCTCTAAGAGACACATTAGGACAGCCTTGTCTAGGGAACCCCAAGCCCTGAGCTGGAAGCTGTTACTGGAAATTCCTCTTTAAGCCTCTCCTTAGAGGTGAAGGCTCATGAAACTCCCCAGGCACCAGGTGAACTTCTGAGGCCTCACTTAAAGCTTGGACGTGGCTTAGGCACTTGGCAGATCTGGTCCACGTCATAAAGACCTTAGTTTGAAATGTTTTGTATAGAAACTAGCGCTGAGCATACTGTTCAGCTTGGTGTTGGTCATTTCTGTATAGTCTTAGGCTCTATTATTTTAGAACCTAAGTCAGGTCTTTAAGAGTATGTCAGGCCCTACATGAAAATAATGCTCCTGGATGTCACATTTTACCTGTCTGCTGCCCAGTACAGCTCTGTATCCTTTACCAAAGCTAGACCTTCAGTGTGACCCTCATCCTTAGCTTTTCATGGTTGTCTGATATTTCCATGAAAACATTCAAAGGAGTTGACTGGTTTTAACCAAACTTTCTGAGGAACATTTCTTCCCTGACCTCACTGCCACATCCCAAAGGAATAAACAAGTGTGACAAGAAAACCTTAAATGCTGCTATTCCAAAGAGCAACTTAAGGACTTTTTTTTACATTGGGTACAAAAGGTCATCAGACTCCCTGTGATGAAATTTTAAATTAATGTGTGCCTTTCAGCCTCATATGCTTTCTTATCTACACTAGATGGGGAAATCTGCATTTATTATTATTTTATAGGACTTTTTTAAATAAAAGCTTTATATGGATTTGAGTATGGTCTGGTTGCGTCCTCTCCACTCTGCTGTCTCTGAAAAGGTGAATATTTTCTCCCCCCTGAAAAAGGAATGTAACTTTCAGGTTAAAGGCATACTTTCCCTCACAGTTCCAAGATCCGAGCCCATTCTTCCCAGTGAGATTGACTTAGAAACCTCACTTAACTGTTGGTTTCAACTCCTTTCCCATTGAAAGTCCCTAGATTTCCTGACATCCTGAGCTCTTTTTTCCCAGGTCTACCTTTTGGAAAAAGCACCAGAAATCAAAGAAATATCCAGAGGCGGGAGAGCATCAGAGGGCCTCTGATTTGAGGGACGAATGTCCGGGACAGTTCTTTGATTTAGTGGTAGAGGGTCTGTAACAGATAGTGACATGCAGTTTATAGATGTCCCTTCACAATTCTCACATCAACCCACTGGCGGACAGGAATGGCTTGCCTTCTTATTTCACAAAGGAGAAAGGCTCAGAAGGTGAAGCACTTGCCTAAGGTCACACCACCAGTAAGCAGCAGAACCAGAATTCAAAGCCAGGTCGTCTTACTAACACCATCCAAAGACACACGTTGGCGTTTTGGGTTGTGTTGTATCTTTCCAGCCTTTAGACCATCTCATATACTGGTTTTTGTTTTTGTATTTTAATATGACATCTATTAAGTCATTTCATATTCATGGAAATTGACTAATTCATGAGAGATTCACTGAGAAAAAAAAAAAAGTAGCTATTTAAGTGCTGGCTGAATGCAAAGTATGGGGCTATGATCCTGCCCAAAGGCAGCTTAAAACTTCTGATGTGGAATATGATGCCTCCTCTTTAAAAAAAAAAATTGGGGGGGCGCCTGGGTGGCTCAGTTGGTTGGGCGACTGCCTTCGGCTCAGGTCATGGTCCCGGGGTCCTGGGATCGAGTCCCGCATCGGGCTCCCTGCTCTGCGGGGAGCCTGCTTCTCCCTCTCCCACTCCCACTCCCCCTGCTTGTGTTCCCTCTCTCGCTGTGTCTCTCTCTGTCAAATAAATAAATAAAATCTTTAAAAAAAATAAAAAATAATTTTTTTTTTTCCTATCTTCACCCATTTCCTCTACCCTCCATCTCCCACGTCTGGTAACCATCAATCTATTTCTAGGAGTTTGTTTCTTTTAGATTTCACATATAAAGTAAGATTATACAGTATTTGTCTTTTTCTGCCTGACTTATTTCACTTAGCATAATGCCCTCAAGGTCCATCCATGTTGTTGCAAATGGCAGGATTTCCCCCTTTTTTATGGCTGAATAATATTCCACTGTGTACATATACATATATATTTTATCTTTATCCATTTACCCATCGATAGGTTGTTTCCATATCTTGGCTATTGTAAATAATGTTGCAGTGAACATGGGGATGCAGATATCTCTTCAAAACAGTGATTGCATTAGCCTGGTCAAAAAGGAAACCAGAAGGGGACCTGGGTGACTCAGTCAGTTAAGCATCCAACTCCTGGTTTCAGCCCAGGTCATGATCTTAGGGTTGTGGGATTGAAACCCCCATCAGGTTCCACACTCAGCATAGAGTCTGCTTGGGATTCTCTCTCTCCCTCTGCCTGCCCCCCCGCCATGCGACCTCTAAAATAAATAAATCTTTACCAAAAAAAAGGAAGTGGTGCCTGGATGGCTCAGTCAGTTAAGCATCTGCCTTCTGCTCAGGTCATTAACGCCGGGGTCCTGGAATTGAGCCCAGGGTCGGGCTCCCTGCTCGGTGGGGAGTCTGCTTCTCCCTCACCCTCTGCCCCCCCACTCATGCTTGCTCACTCTCTCTCAAAATCTTAAAAAAAAAAAAAGGCGGGGGAGTGAAACAACAATAGCAGAGGAAAATCCAAGCCCCCATCTGAGAGTGTATGTCTCCTCATCTGTAGAACAAGGGTTTGGATTGTGTGGTTTCTTATAGCCCTTTGTACCCCAACATCCTTTGGCTGTGGTCCCTTTTCCCCCACAATCAGGTTGAGGTACATCCCCTACTTCTATGCACCATGCACATGCTTTTCTTCCGAAACTCTGCCACCACTGGCCTGTTACCTGAGTCGGGACACATACTTCTAGAACTCGAATTTCAGAGCAGGTTGACTGGCTGCCATGACAGTCAAGCCCCAGGGGCAAAACAGATACCAGGAGACTAAATGGTTGTGCCAACCAATGTAAGAGCAAGTCAGATCTTGCTTCTGCACCCCCTCCCAAAGAATATTCTCAACGATGACAGGGCTCTTATTACATGGCTTAAAGAATTAGAACGCCAGCATGTATTAAGGGCTATCACTTGTGCTTCCCATGAGTCCTTTCAATTCAACTTCTAGATGCAGTAGGTGTTATCAACCGCATTGCACAATGAGGAAATGTGAAGTGGTTGCTGGTAAATGTTTAATACTGTGTGTGTGAGGGTCAGCAGGGGGAGACCCAATTCGCCGATTTTCCACCATAGCTGGCGTGGTGTCAGTGAACACAATTGGGAAGACATCCGAACCCCCAGCCCTCTGACAGGGACAAGCCAGCTCCAGCACACACCAAATCTGTTGTGGACAGAGAAGTCAAGCAGCTTGGCAAGGTCACCCAGCTAGAGTGTGGGAAGTCAGGATTTGAACCCAGACCTTCTGACTTGAGCTGTGCCCTTTAGTACTGCTTTTGATAATTCTGTGTGAATGGCAAGGCCCTCTTGAGCCAAGAGCCCTAGATTGTCTTTATTTCTGATAATCCCCTTGAGGTGATTTCACCCCCCCCCCAACCTATTGCTGTAAGGCCTACAAAACTCCATAGACATTTTGTCCTTCATTTACATTATACCAGATTTGAAATGTCAAAATAGTGAAAATTTCTACTAAAAAATCTTCAGACCCCAAGTGCTGGCCCACTTGTCCAATATGACATTTGATTGCAAATCTGGGTCAGAGGTGGCATTCAGGAGTGGGGGAAAGAGTTCTGCCTTCTTCCCAGCAGAGAAAACACCAACCCATGACCAGAGAAAACCCCCTCCACCCCCATCCCCACAAATGGTTGGCCCTGGTCCCGCCATTGCATGTAAGTGATTAATGCCAATTCCACCAGAAAGAGGTGACTTTCCCTCAGGGACTGAGCTCTGCTTTTAGAGGCAGAGTGAAATGTTTTTATTCTGACCTTTTCCTCCCTTTATAAATGGTTCTTTCAATCGGGCAGACATCAGAAGAGCAAATGGGCAGCCAAACACTTGGCAAGAAGCTGTTAAATAATCCATTCCTTATAACCTAAGCAAAGTTCATTCTAGGACAAGTGGCTACAAATGCTAACGTGCTTGGGGTTAGGTAGTGTACCCGGGCACGTTCAGTCGGCTATGAGACCACGGGGATGTGGGAGGCATGCCCTGCCTAGTATTCACATATCTTAACATATATGAATACATAGCTAATATATCTGAGAACCTGATGTTGCTTATGGGCCTACAGTTGTCAAGCCATGCTAGGTTTCAGCCAACTGTATTTCAACCAATTCAGTTAAAAACACATATACAGGGGCACCTGGGTGGCTCAGTCAGTTAAGCGTCTGCCTTCAGCTCAGGTCATGATCCTGGGGTCCTGGGATTGAGCCCCGTGTCGGGCTCCCTGCTCAGTGGGGAGC